CAATGAGAGTAACCTTAAACTCTGTGACCACTTCCCATTATTCGTATGTTATCTTTTATTATAGATTTTGCTTTTATTGTCTCTTTCATATCTTCATCTTAATTTGTTCCAACTTATGCCATCCTTCTTTGCTTCTATTTATTGGCCAATACTGACAAACTCTTTTTCGTTGCTATAAATTTGACACTGGTTCAAACTCACTGCTCAAAAATTCAACAAAAATTGCCTTAAGTATGCACCATAAGTTTAGCACTTTGCGTTCCGTTACCTCCTCTTTAGGAGTTGCCTCTCGATGAAATATTCACCAACGTGCATGTATTTATTATGGGTTGGTCAATCACATTGTTAACCTGTGGCACATTGAGTGGCCTCCACTGTCTAACGTACGAGGGCATACTAGAATAGACTGGTAAAGTATAAAATACAATATCTTTGTGGCATTGGTGAGTTTCTAGCTTCTAAGTTGTCCAAAAAGATGTGAACTCATTGAAGTATATTGATCAATTGTAGATGATTGAGATTTATGGAAGTGACTATCTCTACGCCAGCATCCCAAACCTTCTCGAACCCTTGCAAGGCCAGGGTCGCGAGACCCTTGAGTGGCGTTTCATTCGTCTTGCCTCGGATCCCTCCTCTAATTTTAACCTTCACCTCTATCCAGTGACATTGCTGGACATATCTCACAGCCCTCCTACCACCTCTTCGTCTACTACGGTTTCCGTGCTTAGTTCGCCTCTTCTACCTGTGTCTCGACTTCGACGCTCACATAGCGGCCGATCTAGCATCCCCCCACCGGCTGGCAAGGGCACATTCTGGCTTGGAATTGGACCCAATGGATTTGAATTTCATGAAGTGGGTTACTCCTCTAATTACTCCTTGCTAACTCCTTAATCATCAACCTTGTTTATGCTTGCTTGATAGTGTGGTGAAGTTATTTCGTAGGCGATAATTTGACCACCTAATCAGCCAAGTAGGTGTAAGCAAGATGATTATTTCTGAGAATGTTTCCCCTAAGCATTGTTGCTTAAATTTCCAACTATCCTTTCGATAGGACGTTTAAGTTTTAAGTGCCATTATTTATCCCTGCTAGAAAACTGTGACGCAGAGGTGGTTAGAGGGTCAAAATAAGGCGGCCTCTGTGTGCACACCTGCTCATTCATCTTACAAATGGAATTCTTTTTGGATGTGAAATAATAGCTCCGTCTGTCTGTCTACAAGATGCCTGTCTGGAAGTCTTGATATCCGGCAGTCTTGTTCCGATGAGCCTTCTGGTTTTGTCAATGGTGCCCGTTCAAAGGCAGTTGACACGTTTCAGCATTAGGTGGATATATTTTGGCACAAAATTAATGCATAGAAGGTGAGAAGAGGAAGCACCTCTCTATTATCAACCACTGGGGTGGAGTTCTGACTAGTGGCTTCTCATTTGCATCTGTGATTGTCGCTTTCACTTGTTGCAATGATTCAGATTACAGAGGCGTCATTTGATCCCGTCTAAAAATATATTCATCAAACTAACTGGAAAGCTAATCTGTGGCAAGGAAGCAAGAGCTTGGCTCCAGAAGTATAAGTTATGCAGAAATGTGGCGTAGCCTAATGTAGGAGCCCCTTGTATTTCATGGTGGATAATGAGCCATCCTCATTCCCGAGATCTGTCTTCGGGGCATGAATGTTATTCACAATGGTGCGACACGCACTCTTACAATTCGGTGACCCGTTAGAGAACCTTATGGTCATAATTGTGACCTATGCTCTTGTTTGGCTCTTGCATCTTTACTAAAACCTAGCGCACATCCATGACCGCATCCGAAACGAAGCGATTAGCTCGCCTGAATTGGCGACGGAATGAGGTGTGTTCGTGGCCTTAGTCATTCGGATGGTCTTGATGACTGAATGTCAATTGGAGTAACACTTCTTTTTTTCGCCTGTTGTGGGCTGTAGGAGGAGGAGAACAGACGCATAACCTATCGCAACAGCCTACCATGGATAAAAATTGACAAGCTCTCACGTAAGGTAAGCAACACTACTTCCTTCGATTTAACTATCGTTCTTGGCTTTTACGAACTTCTCTATCCTCCATCATGAGGTTTCTCTCAACATCATCTAGTTGGCAAAGAGAAATCAGGATCGTTGCCGTGAGATCTAAAAAGTCATACGACGCCTTAGCAATGTAGACAGGTTGCATGCAAACAAGCTTCCATTCTCAGAGTATTTGATTCTTAAGTCTCGACGAAAACATTACGGACGCCATTTCCCAACCCCGAAAGTGGATCCAAGTCTTTCGTTAATGAATCCCAGGTAATGAGTGTGGCTCATTCACTCCCAAATACCATCTGGTAAAGCATTGGAGTAACTTAAGGAAAAATGTTTTGTGTAAGTTGTTTACGAATTTTACT